GAAGGAAGGAAGGAAGGAAGGAAGGAAGGAAGGAAGGAAGGAAGGAAGGAAGGAAGGAAGGAAGGAAGGAAGGAAGGAAGGAAGGAAGGAAGGAACTGCATCATCTCTTGATCAACTTGCTATAACGTGATTTGTTAGTTAGTGTTTTCGGGGCAAATACACATTCTTTTAATTTTCAAATATTTGTGTGCATGTGCTTCTGTCTCAGCTCTGATTTGGGTGCTGCGGTATTACACACCCCGCTCACCAGCACGGATCACTCACAGGTGCCTTTCCGAAAGTTGTTTGGCATTCGGTTTAATTGCCCCATCCGTCCTCCCTCAGTCACTACTCAGCCCGCGACTCAAAGCGAGTCACCTTCTGTTTCTCCAGGTCCTTCAGGGACATCCCCTCTCGAGTAAGGCGGGGGGCCGGGGTTGGCCGAGGGGCGCAGGACCGCGCTCCCGTGTGCGGAGCCGCAGGGTGCCGGTAGCCGCCAGCCGCACTCATCCCCATGGAGATTTTCCTCTCGTATCATTTCCCTCCCGAAAAAGGACAGAAAGCTGAATCTCAAAGAAAAATTCTTGGCCACAAACGCCCCAGCGCCCCTCCCCAGCGGTGCCCGCGGCCCGTCCCCCCGCGCCTGGCGCTGTCTGCGGGACTGACCATGGGCCGGTGAATTCCTGACGGCTCCCAGGCAGGCACACGGAGATGTGACGGCCTCCTCCAGCTGGGCCGGGGGAGTCCTGGCGAAACCCAATGCGATCAAATACGGCGCCTTTTCTGAGCTTCCAGTCCCGGACAAAGGCGAAACAGGCAGCTTGGAACTGATTTTTTACTTTATTTGGAAATCTCATCCAGAAACACTGGTCAATAATAAATATATCGATAGTTATCAAGAATATATAAAAAATAAAGACATGGTGTTGTCTTTGAGGCCCCAACCGAAAACAAACAAACGAAATTAATAATAACATTATTTCAAGCAARCTCCCAGGAAAACATACTGAAACGAAATAAACAGCAACAAAGCTTCGATTTAGTTATACAAATCACCGACCTGGCAAGAGCTGACCCCGCGTGCAAAATGAAACCGTAGCAAAAAAAAGCAAAAAAAAAAAAAAAAAAAAAAAAAAAAAAAAAAAAAAAAAAAGAAAAAGGAAAAAGCAGCAAGCACGAATAAATCGAAAACCAGCAAGAGAAATTAGCACCCCAGCCAGCTGAACCTGCTGAACCGGCACACTTCACCGAAAGCAGGAGATGGGAGATTTGGCAAAACAGATCCACAGGAGAGTTGTGCTGTGTTTTGCACTATTTTCCCCTTTTTTTGTTTGTTTGGGTTTTTTCTTTTTTATTCACAGAGGGAAGAAGAAAAAATTACCGCAAACAAAACCTCATCACAACCAAATCTGGAAAAATAAAACAAACAAAACAAAAAACACCAAACCACAAAATCCCCAAACCATAAAACACACTAGAAAACTTTAGTGAATTCCCTCGGAAGTCCCTGTTGCCAAGGGAGCCGCCTGTGGTCAGTCCCCACGGATGACGCGCTGGGGTGGAAAGCATGCATGCACTCTCTGGGCTACCTTGGGCCACCGCTGAGCTGCCGCAGCCAGGTTTGGWGTGGGAAATTTCGGAGGTGTCGGCTTGCGAAAGGAAGGAAAGAAAGGAAAGGAAGGAAACAGGAAAGAAGAAAGAAAAGAAGAAGGGAAAAAAGCCCCAAACCGATTTCATCGTCTCTCTTGGTAGCTGCGAACACTACAATGACAATCATGTCTTTTTTTTTTTTTTTCTTTTTTTTTTTTTTACTTTTACATACATTTTAACGAATCATTTACATTTGATCACCATCAGCGGCATTATTATTATTATTATCATTATTATTATTATCATCATCATTCTTTTTACAACAGCGAGTTTTTTTTTCCATTTTAGTATAATAAGAAAACATCGCCCGAGGAGCYGGGTAGAACATTACCTTTGCAAGGTCCTTACTACACTAATCCCGTGTTACAGGGGGCTTGGCGGGGCGGGGAGCAGCGGGGGCAGGTCCGTCGGTGGCCCGGGGGGAGACCGGCCGCAGCCCCCTCTCCGTCCGTGGGAGCGCCGGCTCGGGCGCAGCCCCAGCGGCCGGGGGAGCCCCGCCGAGTCACTTCAGGAGGTCCTTGGTCTCCCCCGAGATCCTGGCCATGTTGGAGGCGGTGAGGGCCGAGAGGTGGGGCGGGGGAGGCATCTGGCAGATGGTGCAGGGGCACGGCAAGCCCGCCCAGTGTTGGAAGCCGCTGCCGAGCTGCAGGGCGGGGGGCGTCGAGGGGGTCTTGAGCAGGGAGTGTGGGGGCCGGATGGTGCCGATTGCCGGCAGGGAAGCGGAGAGGGAGGACGAGGTGTTGGCCGAGGACAAGGCACTGCCGAGGATGGGGTGCACCTGGTGCACGGTGCCGGCGGCGTGGGGCGGGTGCCCGGCGGAGTGTCCCACCGTGCCGCAGTGAAAGGCCGAGTGGTGCCCCCCGTAGATTTCCCCAACTAGCCTCTTCATTTCCTCCAGGGAGCTGGTGAGCATCAGGATATAGTTTCTGGCTAGCAGGAGGGTGGCGATTTTGGAGAGTTTTCTCACTGAAGGTCCGTGAGCGTAGGGCATCACCTCCCGCAGTCCGTCCATGGCGAGGTTGAGGTCGTGCATCCTCTTACGCTCCCGGCCGTTGATCTTCAGCCGCAGCTGCTGCAGGTCCTGCTCCGAAAGCTGCTTCTTGATTTTGTACTTGCTGCCTTCCCCTCCGGCCTTGGAACCGTTTCTGGTGAGGCCTTCCCCGGACATCTTCTGCACCAGATCGTTCTGTGTGGAAGATACAGAGTTGAGCCGGCTGTCTTGGTGGTGGTGATGGTGGTGGTGGTGGTGGTGGTCTCTCAGGTACATCTCATCCATGTCTGGTGAGGAAGCTCTGCTGGAGACAGAGCTGGAGTCAGAATTCATTGTATTCGGGCTTCTGAGCAAGAAACTCTTCCCTGCTCTGGAGGTGGTGGAACAAGACAACTCTCCTTCAAAAAGCAACAAAAACGAAGCGAAAAAGAAACAAACGGACGGCAGGGTCTGCCGGCGAAGGGCTGGAAATGCWGGAGGAGGAGGAAAAAAGCCCCTCAACCCCCTCTCTCTCCAATGTCTCCTCTCTCTCTCTCTCTGCACCCGGTTACTCAGCCTGTTTACAGGATGGCTAGTTAGTGTATGCTTGGACTAACCTCAGCCTGAAAAAGAGGGGCTTTTATAGAGCTGCAGCAGAGAGCAGAGACAAAAGGAGCCCTCCTATGTATAATGGTCTAGTTAGGATGACGTGCCATTATTCAGGGCGGTGCGCTTTGACTGTCCCATTTAGCAAGGACCCCTATTCATATTCATTGTGGTGCCACCCGGGACACCTCAGCCACGGACCATCAGGAGTCAAGGAGACACAAAACCCTTCTGATTGACACCGCACACTCATCGCTCCGTGTGCGCGCCTTCTCCTCCCCCTGCCTCCTCATTTCCAATATAAAACCTCATCTCGTCTACCGTCGGGGTTGCGCGCCTGCTCCAGGCCGGCCACCAAACCCCGGTGGCGAGCGACAGCGGGCAGAAGCCGCCTGGGGAAGTCCCTCCGCTGAGACGGGAGGGGTTGGGGGACGTCGGTCGCCCCTGTCCTGCAGCATGCCCGGCTCCAGCSGCGGCTCCAAGCTTTGTTTGTCTTTCCCTCCCCCTTCTCCTGTCCCCCGGCCGGGGCGTGTGGTGTGGCACCGGCTGGCCCTCGCCTGGGCGGGCTGGCCGCAACTGCCTCGTACCTGGGTAGCCGCTTTGTTTAAATGAGCGATGATGACTCGGGCATCAGCCGCGGGAAGGTGCGGGCTGGGAAACCCCCCACCCCCCGGGCCAGTGACTCCCTTTAAATAAACGGGGAAAGCCAGGGTGCGGCTGCAAGCCGGTGTGCTTGGCGGAGGGAGGGGTGGCCGGCCCTGGGGCTGGGCTCCGCCGACCTCGGGCTCCGGCGGGGGGGGCGGCGCGGCGGGGCGGCCGGAGCAGCCGTCGGCGGGACCGAGAGGGCCGGGCCGGGCCGGACGCAGGGAAGGGAGCCAGCTCGGGGGGCAGCGCTGCAAACATCCCCAGGCGTTCGCGCCAGTAAGTAGATGGRTCCCGGGCACCGGCCGCAGCCGGCGGCGGTTCGGGGAAGGGAGGAGGGTGAGTGGGGCCGAGCTGGTGGGGGCTCGACCGGGCAAAGCGGGCGGGGCACCTGGTGCGGGTGTCATTAAAACAGCTCTCTGCCGAAGCCCGTCTCTGCCTCTGCCGCGGGTGCGGACTGAGCCGTCGTGGCCGCCTGCGGGGTCTGCCGGGCTGGGGAGGTGAGAATCCCCCTGCAGGGACGGCGGCGGGAGCAGCCTTCGTGTCCGGGCAAGGACGTGTGGTTCTCTCCCGGATCTTGCCAGCCCTCGGTGGTGCGTACGCGATGAGTACGGGGCTGACAGGCAGGACAGGACGGGAGCCACCCGCTTCGGACKGGCCCTGGAACTCCCGGAGCAGACCCTGGTGCCCCCCTCTCTCTGGGGAAACCGACGGGCTAAATGCCCACCTTCCAAAAGGTGCTTAGGGCTCGGAAAAAAAATCTTGGCAAGACCTCGTTCCTCTATGCTGTCCAGGCCCCGCGGAGGGCAAAGAGTCAGAAAAAGAGGGATATTTTCGTCCGACTGAGTTTAACTGTGGTTAATCTGCTGAGCAAAATTAAAGCCTTCTGATTCTAGCACTGCTAGTAAATCCTGCAGTGAGAAGGAAAGAAAAGAAAAGAAAAGAAAAGAAAAGAAAAGAAAAGAAAAGAAAAGAAAAGAAAAGAAAAGAAAAGAAAAGAAAAGAAAAGAAAAGAAAAGA